GAGAGAGAGAGATAGATAGATAGATAGATAGATATAGAGAGAGAGAGAGAGAGAGAGAGAGAGAGAGAGTCAAATGTGAGCACAGAATATAATACAATTGAGCGCAAAGTCTTTATAACTGGTTTATTATGGTTTGTGTGACCCATAAAAAGGGATAGGAGTGAGGAATGGCTGATATTTTTGTTAATTTTACAATTGTTACTAACCTTGGGTTGAGAATTAAATTAAACGTCTCACCCTTCATCAAATATTCTAATATTGTACACAAATTTGGCAAAAATGCCGAGAATTTGATATATGAACAAAACACGACCAAGGATTCAAAATATTTATGATTACTTTCTAAGAAATTGTTTCCAAAAACTTCTTTACATATAATTTCCATTCCCTATACTTGTGTTACATATCTAATGGGTAACCCGTTATAGACAGGACTCGCATCAAAGCACTTGTTATGCACACAAAACACTCAAAACTTGAAAAGTTTTAATTTTAAATTAGTTTTTAAACTTCTTTTTAACAACAAAAAAGATAACACAAATTACAGAAATAATTATATAATGAGTTAATCTGTGTATAAAAACGTTTTAGATTTACATTTCTATAAAGATTATATATGCTATAACAAAAATAATACGAAATTTAATTAAATCTTAAATTACTTGAAGTGGAAATCATTAAGTCTTTAAGTAATTTTGAGCGAAACAAATGACACGAGAAATTAAAGAGTTTGTATGAAATGAAAGGCAATTAAAAAGTTTTTAAAACAGTTTTTCATTTATAATCCGAATTCAAATCTGTCTTTTAAATCATTTCCATTGTGTTTGAGATTCAGGAAATGAAAGCAAAATATAAAAAATATTTATTTGTTTTGGAAATAAATAATAGAATAAGAGATTTGAGAGCGAAATGTATTAATATATCATTTGTAAGCAAATTAAGCAAACAATGAAACTTTAATATCAAATGCAAAGCAGTGGTGAAAACAATCGGAAAAAGTTTTTTGTTCACAAAAAGTGTTTCTTTCTTCCACTTCGCGAACGAAATATTAATTTAAAAATAAATTAAACTTTTGAAATAAATCTTATATTGAGTTTAAATAATGAGAATATTGTGTAAAAATAGAGCATTCATTGCTTTTTATCACAATATCAGACATCGGGTTATGCTATACATCGAGTGATAATCTAATTCAAGAACTAAGACCTAAGACTTGTCTGAATTCCAGTCCAAACTGAATAACAAGTTAAAAGACCTCACTTTACACGCTATTATAATAGCTGTACTCTTATATTATGTCTTAAGTCGCTCTCACATATAAATTATACGTTTATATACGAGAAGTCGTCAAAAAATAAAAAACTTTAAAATCATTTGCTTTAAAGATTAAACACATGAGAAGCCTTTTAACTCAATTCGCAAGCAAACCAAATATTATGATTCAAGTGATTCCCAGCGTATCATAAGGTATATGACATATCGTAGAGAATATGACAACAATTATAGGGTATATGACATCAAATAGAGTACAGGCTATGAGTACTGACCGAAAAGCTGGACGTGTGATGTAATCCACATTTTCAATGGTTTCCCAATAACTTCACTACTTTGGCATCAAAACTAACATCGATTTCACAAATTATATCCGAGAAAAAGCTTTTATCGTATAATTTATTGTAAATTAATGGGACGGACACTAAACTTGAGGAAAACTATTTTTAAAACTTCAATTGAAAACAACTTTTATAATAAGCAAACGCCTAACGAGAAATCAAACAATTTATTTGACACTTAAGTCCTAAATATAAACTTTTCAAAACTATCGGTTCAAATGAGAAACGAAACTATTTTCTCATTCAATGCGAGAAACAACACAAGAAATGAATGTTTCAAACGAAATAAATTAATTAAAATGAATTACACGTCAAGCAAAAAGTTACGAAAACATTTTCAAACAGATTGTCTTGAAAGACAAAACTTTTCAACCAATGCTTAAACACCAAAAAAAGTCTTATTTCCACTAAAACTCCTCAACAAAAGCTTTGCAATAGTTTTCGCATCAAATGCTTGAATATATTTCATACAAAACTGTTGAGACATTCACTCTTTCACTCACTACTAGAGGTGTCACTAGAGGTGTGTTTTGCAATCACTATAGCGATTGCATTGCCCACCAATCATGTAACCAATTAGTGGGAGTGGGGGAGTGGGGGATATATACACTACACATGTATAGACATTAGGATTATACAAAAGGATACGAAAGGGTACTAATAAGATAGTGTATTATTGAACGTACTATATGTGCACTTAGTTTAAGCGCCATAGCGTTGGAAAACATGTATTTCATAAACAAATTGCATTAAAAAATATGTGCAAAAAGTGTTGAACTTTGCGTTCAAAGCGATAACATAACGATTAGTTTGAAAAGCAATGTTTGGATGATTTGTTTGCATTAGTTGTCAATTATGTGACCATTGAGTCAGTGCTCCGTTTGTCTCCCTATTTGCCATCAAAAGCACATTCAATTGGATCCCAACTCACGAGTAGCGAAGAGACGGTGTATTTGTGACACCATTTGTGACACATTTTTGTTGGCAATTGTTTTGACACTAAATGAGTGCATATTTAATATAATCATTGATTGAGTTTACGGTAAATATTACTCTCATTTTACTCAACACTTTGCCATCACTTGAAACCAATTGGTTATAACTTTTGTCTCTTTGATTCACAGATAAAAAGACAACGTTTTTGATGATAAGAGTCGAGGAAGTGATGGATTGATTGCCATGAAGACGAAAAAAGTGTTGAATTCGAGACAACCCATTGTCGTGACCGCTGTCGAGCACCAGAAGAATGCTGTGAACGATGTGTTTCCACCACTTCCTCCACAACAACACACGTTGCAGTCCCTCATCAACGGTGCAGTCGATGATCATTACGAACAAAGGGTCGATCCGATTGTCACGACCACTGAGTCCTCCGATGAGACCCTCGGGCCGGACCAGGAGTTGTCGTTAAGCGAAGAACAGATATTACAACGTTTGCCAAAATTAAAGCTTATCTCAGATATGCATTCACGTGATATACCACCACATCCTTCATCCGCAATGCCAGCTCTCACTCCCATTCCTTCATCCCATCATTTAGAGAGCCCTTCAACCCATGCATCGATGGACACAATCACTGAACCAACGAGTCATTCATCTGAAAGACATTTTACGAGCAATTGTGTCATTAATCTGAACGCAAGTGAAGGCAATTGTATTAATAACTCCATATTAGCCGAAGTCACGAATCTATTAACCCAAGGATATCCTAATCTTGAGTCCAGTCTTGCGAGCACTTCCACTGCAGTCGACTCATCCTCTTTGGGCTGTAATTTGGTCGACAATAATGTGAAGACATCTCAAACCGTGAATGTAGTCAATGGTGTGTCCGAACAAGACGTGGATGAAAATCAATCGCTTAACTCAACAAATATAGTGGACATTGATTTGAACGATAACTCCAACTCACCGATGATGTCAAACACAACGGTTCTAAAGCCAAAAGAACCAAAAGTAGTGTCATTTGCAGACATGAATCAGTCGTTAAATACCTCATCATTGGCCACAAAACCACATCTCAATACTAGTGGTCCACATGTGTCTCATTTGAGTCGAATCTCATCGAACAGAGTGTCAAACGGATCCTTAAGAGGAGTGAGACACTTGCAGCCCTTCCTGTACTGCGCCAAAGACTATCGTATATTCGGAATGACTCGACATTCGGGACGCCATAAGGCGGCCGAAGAGGAGGAGGAGGCGGACAATGAGCTGAGTATGACTAACGCCTCGTGGAGTGAGATCGATGGCAGTCAGTACGAGATAAATGTCACCAAATGGACAGATGAGGAGCAGAGGAAGGAGATTCTCAAAGGAGTGGCTGCCATGAAGTTCGTGAAGAGTATTCGCGACGACGGAGTCTTCTACTGTTTCACTGCATTCCCGGGTCAGTCCAACCCAACCGATGGCTTGCATTGTGTGATGCGGTTAGAGAGGGATGCCGTCAAAGAGCAGCGGTTTAGCGCATTAGCCGTCACTCATCTGTATGTGATTTGTGGCGAGTGTTTGGTGACCGCCGAGAACGGCAAGCAAAAGAAGTCAGTGGAAACGGGTCACGAGATACTGATCCCGGCCCACACCAGGTATCAGATCGAGAATAAATCGGTCAATTCGTCCTATTTTTACGTCATCGTTACCCTGAGCTAATTGTAATGATTGTTTTTTAAATCTAAATTCTAATTAAAACTCAAAATAATGTGATTCAGTCATACTATATATAAGACATCCATTACGTGATCGCAAATTATTGTTTTTCATTGGATTAACATTATTGTATTATAGCATTTAAATCGTTATTTGGTTGCATTAGAAATCATTTCATAATTTGAAATTTTTTATTAATATTAAGATAACTACTTTTTGTTATACAGTAAAAGAAAATCAAATACTTTGATATGAAAATGAAAAAATTGTTGATTTATTTTGCGTTTACTTTTTCAAACTAATGCCTTATTCAGTGGATTTTATTTTGCTTAAGCTATCGGGTGAGTTGCCTGTAATGGTAATTTAGGTATCGGTAATAGTCATCGGAACAATAGTTTTTCAGAGTGACCAACAAGTGACCACTGATTTTACTGGTAATATAGAATACATGACTTTACATGTACTGTATATTAATAACTTATATTTTGTAATACAGTATTTATTAAAATTCAAGAATTGAGATTCAAATTATAGCATAGGATATTGCAGTTAATTATAGTTTATTTATATTGATCCAAATGATAGTGCATTTAATTTGTAACTCAACTCTAAGTTGGAATATAAAATTTAGTCTAAAATTATTTGAATAAAAATGCTGTAAGTCAATAAACTCATAGACCTCATAATTGCTATAGAAATCGATATTCATAACAAAAATAGTATTGTTATTTATTTTTATGTTGCAAGTTTATAGTAAAATTGTAGGCTCAGTAATAAATGATTGATATTTATTTGGATTATAAAGTACAGTAATTTAATCTAATTATGTTTGAAAATGTCAAAATATCTAAATATACAGGTATAAGGTAACCGAGGTTCAAATGTTTTATTTATTTGACAACATTCACAAGAAATGAGAATTTTAGCGGATATAAGAATTTGTATGGTTAGTAAGCTATGAAAGTGTGAATATTCTCAAAATACAAATCAATTATTGTATTCACTATCAGATATCGTGTCCAGGTGTTCGCATCACTTTTAATGAATCCAAACTTTACTTACGAATAAAATTGTTCAACTGTTTGGCCATAAGTTCACAATTTGCACCCAAATTTCCAATTCATATTTACGAGCACTTCTACTTCGATCAACATTTCGATTGTGTCACTAATCAACAACTTTTTCGTTTTCTTTCCGGTATTTCTTGTTATATTTGTTTCAATTTAAGATTACTTTAATTTTTCTTATTTCATATATTAGACGAACAAATAGTCATTGAATTAACGGACGACAAGAACTTTATTATTTGCAAATACGAGTCAAATGCTCACAATTTCTTATACCCGAGACCTCAGTTGCGGCCGAAGTATAGCCAATCGAGTCGTTCTCTTCTTATGGACTCTTGTCTTCTGCCGATTGCACCCAAACTCGAGTTTCAGATCATTAACAGCATTACCCAAGAAGTAAATGAATGCGATACAGACAAAGATATCGACACTTATGAATCAGAATCTGTTGAATCACATCCAGAATCGGAGGACAATAGTCTTACATTTTAACAGTTCATAGATCTTTATTTTATTCATACAATGCTTTTATAATACGATAATCAAAATGAACAGATCATTGACTCATTGAGACATTTATTAAATTCTTTTTAATCATTTCAAAACATTTATGAGTTTAGAAAAAAGTCACAAAATTGGCTAAAAATAAATCT